TGTGATCTGTAGGTGTTCTTAATCATGATCTTTCTAACTTACTACTGTGACGTCCCTAGACACAGCCTTCGCTCGCTCCTCGCTGCTTCGTTCGGGTGTCGCCGCTCCAAACGTGACGTCCGCCTGTTTGCGTCAGTCATGTTGTTCCGTCCTGTGACGACCAACTGGCTTGGTATCGGTCGCGGCACCCAAATGTGACGTTCTAACCTTTTGGTGATTCGGATGGGAATCTGGTTAGATTCGATATCAGCCTCGTCGTTCCCAACTCGCTTCCAACGTCTGGTTACCAAAGTAACTGCGTTGATCTCCAGTCTGCCTACCCACGTTGTGAATTGATCTTAGACAGACGAAATCAATCAGTAGTTGGGGCCGTAATGCAAATTGAGTTCAAACGAGGGTGACACCGCACAAATATGCACAAAAGAAACAAAATGATAGCTCAAAAGTTCAAGGTATCAAAAAAAGGATAAAAATACTTCATGTCTAGTTGCTGGATACATAGGACTGCGTCTATCTCCCGACCCGTTATATGGATTGTGACACGTTGTTTTTTTTGTTAGGCGAGTTTTAACACTTTAAGTTGTCTGTTCTTTAAGAAATTTGTTCTTGGTGTGTCTTCAGGCGAAAGTCGAAAAACTTATTTTAGTGGTATGGATCTAAGTCGCTCTTCAAAATAAATTGTTCTTGGATTGAAGATGAGTTCGGAAGTTGCGCGAATCTTAGTCAGCTGCGTGGCCTGCTTCAACTGAACACTCTCCTCTGCTGAACTCTCCGGGAAACTCTCCGGGAAACTCTGATTTTCGCTCGCTGCGACTTTGCTTATTATTTGCCGACCAAAACCGGGGTGGGTTTGTCGGGTCCGGAGGTTCCTCGATAATTCTAAATACATACCCGCTTCTTTTATTTTTTGGTTAGGAATTTTCCACTTCTTTCCATTTTTGGGAGTCTTCTCTTACTCCCACCTTCTCACCATACTTCAGAGGGGCGTCAACGGATCTCCCCACTTCTTCGTAGCAACCTCTCATACCCGTCCTCTAAGTGGGCGGCGGCGGCTTCCCTCCTTGCGCCACTCGGCCAATGATGTCCAGCCGGGCGTGTGCGATCCAGCTGGCTTTGTTTCAGGAAAAAAATATATCTTGCTCAAAAAAATTTATCTTTTTCTTTTCCTTTTCTTTCCTTAATCGCAGCTCTCATTTTCTCTGGCCGCCAACAGAACAATGCGACCAGTAGTGTCATAACCTCTATTCTCATCTGGACTTCGTCAGTCAGATTTTTGCTAATCATCAGAATGGGTGGTCGTCCAGCAAAACACAATCGACCGTCGTCTCGAAAAAACAGTTCCAGTGTTCTAGTCATTCCTGGTGCCAATTTCTGATAACATAGTTTTGTTATCACAACCGAACTCTAACACCGATAGATGTCATGTCAAAAAACGACCAGCCGTTACTCAAGGTTGGCCTCGTGTGCGGCTTAGCAGACGACACAGTTAATTTTTCTTATCTATCCAAAGCCCTGTATTTCACCTGTTCTTTGTCAATTATCAAAATAACATTATCAATTGGAGTTTTCTTAGCTAGTCGGTCTGTGGTTTGCTAATTAGATGTTTGCCCGCATTAAGCGGCTGTTATCTATCCCCGATAACACAAGTTCGTCGCCAGAACATAGTCGATTCCCTTATCCATTTGTTACTTATCAAAATAACATTGTCAAGGCCCCTGGTCGCGGGTGGTTTCTTTTATCATCTACGCTTAAGTCTCGCCTCTCTTTTCCTTTCTTTCCTTTCTCTTTTTCCTTTCTTTTCTTTTTGCCCTGGTAAATGGTGCCACACTACTTTCTCGTTGCTAGTTTTCAAAACTACACATATCGAAGATTATATATATATATATCTATATATATATATGTATAAATATATAAGAAATATACTCTTAAGGTGTGCTATATTTATGGGAAAATGTGTTCAATATCAGAGTGCGTGTGAAAATATAATAGTGAATATTGAAGTCAACACTTACAGGCGACAGGCTGTTTCATGCAGGACGCAATCGCCAGGCCACCATATATATATATATATATATATATATATATATATATATATATATATATATATATAATTTTATAGCATTGATTTCTTAATTGGGCTCATGGGGAGTACTTATTTGTAAGGCGTGTCCAAAACTTGCAAAGGGTATTTGTTAGTGTCCAATAAAAACAAGGATGAAAATGTAATGTATCCATAAACGTCGCTTCAAAATCGATAACGAGTCTCGTAACCCATTAGAGTTCTAGAGGCACGGTGTGTACTCCAGCCCGGATGAGAAGTGGTGTGTCTTGGACAAAGATAGCCTGACGGAGCCCAACCCTCACTAGGCTGGTTTGAATTCTGACTTTTCCTTCTAGACTGATTGCTACACAAGGTTATAGAACGAAGTCTGTTCTGCTATTTACCCATAGCTGGGGATGAAAAGATGGATTCAGACTTTTTCCATATATATTAGAACGTAATGATAGTTGAAGAATTATTTCTACCCTCTCCCCCCTCTCTTTTACAGGCTGGGTGTGGCGAGTCTCTCACTGGTCTATCGCTAATTCTATGGAAAGTGCTCGGAAGAATTACATTCTTGGGTTCCACCAAGGTCTAACCTTCACGGTCAGAACCTTCCGTATTCCATTAGTGAGAAGGTTTTAATTCAGAGTTTCCTTCTTCTATGCTGGTTGCCACTCAAGACTATAGAAACCAGTCTGTCCTATTTTACCCATAGCTAGGGGAGAAGAGATGGAGTCATATCTTTCCCAAGGGTATTAACATGTAAGTAAATATCTGTCTATATTTCTGAGATGAGGTATTATGTACATTATTTACATTATTCGGACTATTGTCCTCATCTTTGTCGCCATATTTATCACAACGTTTCGGCTGTTGTACGCTCCGGCCTTCTTCAGGTGGTTGGAATGTCGAGGTGTCCTTGAGGACACATGGCATAGTGGATAAAAGCGTTAGTTAGATCCAGTGACATAACCCAAAGAGTGTGAGTTCAATACCCGGCTAAGGCAGTGGAGAAATTTCAGAGGGAAAAATTAACAGGAGATAACTGATAACTAACATCCATTGAACACGGCATGTGGAACTAGAACAGTCTACCCCAGCGGGCGAAATAAAGGGTTCAGTTCGACATTCCAACCACCTGAAGAAGGGCAGAGCGTACAACGGCCAAAACGTTGTGATAAATATGGCGACAAAGATGAGGACAATAGTCCGAATAATGTAAATAATGTAAGTAAATGTAATGAATTTAAGTGGAATTCGAACTCGGCTCCCCGATTCCTCAATTCGAACAGCAATCCAATAGGACTATCGTTAAGCATCCCGATACCACTTTCTTATCAATGTTGAATTTTGTACAAATCTGTGCAAAAAGTGGATCACAAAGCTTACCCAGCTTCATACAGATTTTCAGGAAATATCAGCTTCTAATTGGTCAGTAAACAGACAAGTTGGCGTTGCAATCCGCCCACTTACAAATGTTTTTCCAGCGCGTGACCAAGTCAAGTTTCTTCACCATTTTTCTGGGAGCCTGTCACGTGATTACATTGATTATAAATAGCAGACACAAGCTTGATCATTCTGATTCTTCTCTTCTCTTTTCCTACGAAGATGTAACCTTAAAGGATCCCGTCTCGACCATGTGCGGTCAGACGTTAAAAGCATATTCACGCATGCACGTACGTACGAAACTTTCCAAACTCCATTACAAACATACAAAACATTTCCAAACAAGCAACAAGAACTTTCCTCTTTGAAATACTCTTCTAAAGCTCAAAGTTTATTCATCATTTCTCAGCTTTATAATTCATTCAACTTTTGTGAGCTTAGATAAAATATTTCAATTTCATCAGTAAAAACTTTAATTCCGTCAAAGGGACATAACATCAACAAAATAGCGATTTTCCAAGCGTAGATTAGATGCGGCACAAGGCCGAATGTATGGGGCACCCAGTGAGGATCGAACTCACCCAGTCGTAATCGTTCTTGCGAGACAAACTTGCTAACCATTACACCGCCTCGAGGAAACATCAACAAAATAGTAACCTCTACGGATGTACATCATTACGCAAAAATAAATATAAATGTTGTTGTTATAAAAACCGTTCTTCTTGTGTTTCATATTTTGTTCCTTCTTGTGTTTCATATTTTGTGGTATTTTGCGTTAAATATAAATCGTGTGGTCATGTTAATAAACAAGCATCTATGTCTATGTCAAATGGTCATACACATTAACTTACCACAACAACTTCAAATTGCAACGATGATTATTACTCTCTGTTCTGTTTTACTTAGAGCGACGCATTTAAAGTTGATTATGAAGAATCATTGTCGGTTCCTATCGGAGAACCAAAACTAAAAGAGTCCTTTCAGTTATTTATCCTTTGTAATGATGAAATCTTATTCTTCAGTATTTTCGCAATTATCTGCATGTTCTAATTTTGTTCGAGTTTCAAAAGATTAAAATTGTTTTAAGACTGACCAATCGGCATTGACTATAAGATTTGACAGATCGGAACGTTCGACCTCATGTTTGAACGGGAGACGACATTTTTACTTGATTTATCTTTTCCATTTCTATGTATATATATCATTACTTGTGAAACTAGTGTTTGTGCAGTTTCTCTTTTCATAAGGAATTAGTCGTGTTAGGACATTGGTCATTTGTCTGCAGTGGCAATGAAATGAAAAAGATGACAGTTTAAATTCAATCACACGCCATCACTAAAAATAATAATAATAAAATCCCCTTTTCATCCAATTATTTTTTGTATTATTTTATTAGTTCATATGTATATATTTTTTCCTTAAGTTTTATTCATTTTATTTATTTTCCTTTTTTCTTTCATTCTGTTAATTTCGTCATTTCTTTTCTTTTTAATTTATTTCTTCGTTTCCTTCCTTCCTGTATTTTCCATAAATCCTTTAACTTTATTATTTCTTGATTTCTTCCTTTCAGTTCCTTTCTTTTTTTTCTCTTATCTTTTTTCTTCCTTCTCTTTTCTTTTCTTTCCTTCTTTCTTGTTATTATTCCTTTAACTGTCTTCCTTTTTTCATTTTCCTTTTTTCTTTCTCTCATTTTTTTTCTATCTTTCTTTTCTAACCAACCAATCGACTTGTGTCTTGTGTTTTAATATTTACACAAGATTGTTTCAATATTTCCGTTTTCCATCCCTTTTCATTTGTATTCTTTTTTCAGACTGTTTAATGTTTGAGCAAGGAAGAAGTTTGATAGGAGAAACAAGTAGGCGGGAAGATTGAATAATTTTTATTTGGCTTTAAGTATATTCGTATCATTCAGCACACTTGAAAACAATATGGCTGCGTCCCACGATTGCTTTTCAAGATGAAGACAACACAGGCGTCTCTACTCAGCGAAAAGCAACAAAATACGAAATGAGATATTACATTCCGTTTTAGGGAAAAAAAATGCGAAAAAACGAAGAAGTAAAATTAATTGGCCGACATTTATCAAATGTAGTTGATTCATTCTTAATGTTATAACAGTGTAACGTCCATTGAGGTTTGAATTCTTTTGCAATCACCTTGTAAATGCTGCTTGGTTTATGCGTTGAGGTTGTCAAATGTAATTGTGTGTTCTAAGAGCATTTATCTATTATACATTTAACGATTCGAGAAAAAACAACGAGACCCCAATTGTGCATCAACAATAAAATATATATTGAAACAATAACATACAAAACAATCATGTGTTGTGTAGTAATTAAGGGAGAAAAAGTTGCTTCCCTTTAATTGTATTCTGAATAAGATTGAATGTTCGAAAGAATTTCTCTTGAATAAGAATGTGCAGGATTCTATGTTGAATAAAGTCTGGTGTAGAAAGGAATATAGTCAATTAAGAAGTGTGTTGTTTTGAGAAATATATAGACTGCTGGTTCATGAACTTGGCTTAGTCACAGAGAGGAAGAATATGTGTAATGTGATACAAAAATCTGTGTGTGCATTGCGAGTAAAGTCGTGGATTTGTGTAGACCGGCGTAAACAGTTGGACTCTACTGAAAGTTGTGGAAACAAACCACTTGTTTATAAAGCTGCTGGTAGGCTCCAGGCAACAACGCGGGAAAATAGATTCAGCACAAAAATGTTTGATTGGTTAAAATTCGACCAAATACTGATTTTGTAACAAAGACATATGTGAACAAGTTCACGGCAGGAAAATTCAAAGTGGTGACTGGGATTGCTAAATTGTCTTATGGAAAAGCAGTATCTATTTACTAGCCAACCGTGGACGAATAAATTGTGGGCGTGGAAAGCGTAGCAGTCGCTACAACCTAACATCTGCTCTATAGAACGCGCCTGTGCCGATCTATTAGACACGAACATACAAACATACAAATTACATTTACAATTCCAAGCATCCATTGGTTAATTAATCACCACTACGTTATTATAGACAATTTACAAATCGCAATAATGCGACAATTTTGTAATCGCTCTATTTTTAAGTAGTCAATTTTGAGCACTTTTGGGAGAAGGGCATCACCGAAGCTTTCTTAAGTTTCCCCAAAGCTCGCTCGCTGATTGGTCGATGGCAACCAATCAGATCGTTTGCACGTGAAGAATAATTCTTCCCGAGCGATTTGGAGCCTATAGTCGCTTATTTAAGCCAAGATATTTTTCATCTCAATTAGTGAGAACTCAACTGCCAAACGAACCCACGACAGTTGAAACCATGCGCCAACCTTCTCACTCACACACACACTCACATGCTGAACATAACTTGCATACACTCACATAAACTCTTCTTACACAGCAATATCTTTCAAGAACAATCATTACAAGAGACTCTCATGAACATTTTCCCAGTGAAACTTAAACCAAATAACTATATCTCACTGAACACTAAAATAACAGTTAAAGAGAGACAACTCTTGGTTAATTCAACGTTTCTTACCTAAATGCATGTTTTCTTTCACATCGTTGTTTGATATTGTACATCTTTTTAAAATACATATTTTATCTGTAACAATGTTTTTGATTATCCTTCTTGCGTGAGCCTTGTTTCCTAATCAAAAGTTAAATTAATGTGGTGAAGTCCGCCACACGCCTTTTTGTAATATAACATTATTGTTCCAACCATGTCAAATTATTGTTTATTCACATCTGAATTTCGTTAATTAATATCAACATGTAGGTGTGTAGCTTTGGAGGCTTTCTCCGAACGTGAATCTTCTCACGAGGATGTGAGAAATTCTTTGTCTATTCCTTCTCGAGTAACGGGCTTCTTCGTGTCATTCAGTTATCCATATCCTAAGCGCAACTAGGTCGATCAACTATTTACATATCGGTAGTTTTGAGAGGGCAGTGACATCATGTAAGGCTCGAATATACACCTGGTGACTATGAGGCCATCATCCAGGTCAACCTTCTGATACACCTAGCTCTTTTGATGCTCTGGTGGGCAAAGTCTACTTTGATATCTCTTAGGTTGAGGCCAGTATATATTGTGGTCACCACAGATCAACTCCTATTAGAACAAAGGCGTTCTTTATTAATATTTTATTCAGACTTCAAGTATTTCCTGGGGTGAATCATAGTCTGCAATAAGAGAGAAAATATAAAGTGCTACGCCTTAGCAGTTAGGGAAATTAGAACGGTTTGATAAACCTATTCATTTCAAAAGTTATTCAATGTTCTCCGTGACTTGCCGGACATTTCAGATATTTCTCGAAATCACCCGCCAAGAAATAAAGAAGCTTATTTTCTATTATTTCTTCTTTTCTTGGAAAAAAGCCATTTCGCTAAGATTTTCCAGAACTCTTCATAACACAGTAGTTTCTATTCTGACCCTGGAAGCTTCTGAGAGTGATCTGAATTCTTTTGAAAGAACCAAATAGATTTCAAGGAATATTTGTATTAGAATAGGTGACAGCTGGCTTGTCTCGCAATCAGTTAACAGTGAAACAAAATCTTTAAATTGGTAACGTATGTATTCATTTAGTTTATCTAGTAATTCAATGTATCGACACATCCTCAAGAAAACGTGTCTGGGACACAAATGCGCACATATACCTGGTGTAATAGAAAAATGGTCCAAATCGTGTAACAGCAAAATTATCCATCCTACAAAATGTTTAATTTCTAAAACACCACTAAACTAATTGAGTTTCTTTTTTCCAGGTTTTCGGATAAGACGTTTAGCTATTTTGACACCATTTGCCGTAACAATCACTGAAAAACCCTTTGAGTTATATAGCTAAAAAGAGAACAGGTTAAAAACATTGCAAATGAACAATGGCGAGAGGAAAAAGATCATTCAGGCATTCAGTAATGATACCGACATTCATACTCTGGTTTCCATTCAAGAACCATCAAGAGAACGGTGAATAAGTTTAAAGAAGGGGGAATAGTAGAGAAGAAAACTGGATCAGGGGCTCACAACAGCAAGAGGGATCATCATTTCAAATTAAAGCCAAAGAGATCAATTAGAAAAGATCCAACTCAACTCATAAGACATTTGGCACGTGAGAGAGGAGTTTCAGCTACGACAGCTCAAAGAGCATTGAAAAAGACTTGAAAATGAAATCATACGTGAAGCCTGTGAGGCAACTTGTTAGGACAGAAAGTTAGAAAATCATCTAGAATAAGTTGGAAAATGATCCTGTAATAGCATATATATATATATATATATATATATATATATATATATATTTGATCTTTATTTCAATATTCATGAGCTATCGATCCTTAGCTATGATTAATTAATGATGAATGATGAGCATGTCATTTTCGTTTATGATCGATTTAATCACGATTCTACTTTTAAGCTTGGAGCGTAATTATACATACTTATTGCTCAAAGTAGAGTACAGCAGTGTTGTAAAAACCTCGGATAATTCCAGTAAAATATTTTTAATCATTTCTAAGATACAACGGTTCAGAGCTTTATCTAACAAATGGACAATTTTGCTGTTACACCCAGTATTTTTAAAATGATAGGCTTGAAAGTAAAAGGTGCGATCATTTTGGAATTTGGATCGAGGAATGTGAACAAATGCTTCATTTTGTTCATCAGTCAAGATACTCAACGTTTCCCGGGTTCCGCCGAACATTTCATCGTGTTCTCGAAATCACTCTATCATGAAGTAAAGAAACTCATTTTGTTTTTTTTGGAGAAGCCAGTTAGTAAATTAGCAATATTTATTTTTGTGTGTAAAATAACATGATGTTTTAAACACACACACACACACACACACACACACACACACACACACACACACACACACGCCTAATTAAAATTAAACTTTTTTTAGAACGTTCGATTTTTATTGCACTGAGCCAAACATAGCGTTCTCACAAATAGGCTCAAATCAAGGCATATCGAGAAAAGTCCGCCCGAACACATCATTGGTTATTTAAGTTTGCGTTTTTAGGCAGTGATAAGGGCACAGAGATGTAATTTTTTCACATAATTACTTATAAGATCAGTTCCATACAAATGTCAGATTGAAACCAAGAGGACAAATTTAGTTTCCTGTTTAGTTCCAGGAAAATTGCGAAAGTTATCAGCCTCAACTAGTCTACTTGCTCATTTGATCATTATCCGCCTCAACAGGCCAATTCGTCAATTGGATTGTTATCAGCCTCGACAGGTCTATTCGCTCTCTTCATCGTTATCTTCTCAACTATTTTTATTCACCCATTTGACCGTTACATTTATTTCGTCTTGGTGTTACCTGTAAATGGAAATATTATGCCCTGAAGATCACAAATTGAGATTGTCGAAATTCGGCCCAGAATCATCGATTCCATCAGAAAACAAATCAAATATAAGAATCGTGTTATTCAAGAAATTTATAGTAAGTTAATGTCTCATTAGGTGTTGTTAGCGAAGTGATATCGCCATTAATCACATTAACATTGCTAATTAATTCTTTGTATAAATTACTTCTTTATCATAATACTTCTTCGGAAATACGCACTTTTATTGCGCTGGAGGGTGTCGTCAGTGATGTAATTACTCAGGTCATTGGGTAGTTTCGGGCCTTACAACATCATACCATCGTCGCTGAGTCGACCCCGTCAGAGCTGATCAGGCTCCGACGCACCCTCCTTCTGTACCACGCTATACGACACTGATTTTTATAATTGTCTCAGCCGACTTGTACTCGATACTAGCAGGATACACATAGGGAAAGTCCATAGCGCTCAGGTAAGTTGGGTTATTCAAAAAGTCAGAAGGAAGAATTTTTTGTTAATTTGTTGCTAGTTTTTAAGTTTATATATTAAAAACAATAATAATAATATGCTCCATCCAGAATGACTGTAGGTTAACCGATTAAAATAAATGTACTTATAAAAATTTGAGTACAATAAACTAAATCTATATGCTTTATACAAGTTTTCCGGTTTACATTTGAAATGCCAATATTATTTTATCCCAAGCACCCCCCCACCCTCAACAAGAAAAACAAAAACAAAAAAAAACCCCTTTTTTTCCATGTATTATAATTTAATATGACTTTAAAATTATGTACAAGACAGTAATTCCCTAATCCCCTGAAAAAATGAGTTTTTATGAAAATTTAGAAACACGAAAAAAAAAAAAACATTGACGTGTGCGCATATATACCCCCACACACATACATACATACACACACATACATACACATGCAGACACTCAAGTGCTGTTCTTAAAGTTAAAATTCCAATAAACTACCCTACGAAAGATAAATAACTAATATAAATAATAATGATATACCCCGCCCCAAAAGACTGAAGGTTTGACGTGTAAAAACTAAAAAGAAAGAAGTTATACGAGCGAAAAAAAAAAAAAAAAAAAGAAGAAAATTACATTGATATGCGTATGTACAGAATTGTCGTTTTTAAAATTGAAAATTCACCAATTACCCCGTGAAAAGATAAAATGAAAAAAAATAAGTAAAAAGGGTTGGTAGTAATGATAAACCCCGAAAGACTGGCGCCTAAACGATTAGAATAAATGAATATGTCAATTTTAGTTAAATTCCATCAGTATATGAATATACAGATTTGTTGTTTGTATACACATATACATATATATACATTTTGCTTTCCATTGAAGTGGCAAATTTTAAATTTATGTACAATTTGATCAATGCAAACGCATAGTTTGGATTAAAAAACAAAAGATAATAAAACAAAAAGAAAGAATAGAAATAAGCAAGGGAAATTCAGCAGTAGTAAAAGCTTCGAAAAGAAAAACACTCTTACAAACGCTTAGCGTGTGTTAATAAGTATTTTCTGCAAGTAATAATTTAAATTTTGCTTTGGTTTTACTTTTATGATATATATATATATATGTGTGTGTGTGTGTGTGTGTGTGTGTGTGTGTGATTATTTGTCTCATATATAGAAATTATAACATTAATGCAGCATTCCGAGTGAAAGGAACGAAAAGCGATGAGGTCTAACTCGAGATAATTCCTGAAGTGAAAACTGGAAGGCCGATTGTGTCCCCTTTGTACCTGGGGAAACTATGTGCTTCACTCTGCTCTCTTAACTGCCTTGGGCAGTCATGTCTTGCTTCTCTGCTGTTTACGTAGCAACTGGCGTGAGCAGACACGTCTCGCTTCGAGGCGTGCTAAATAGCAATTGGCATTCGTCACTCTGTTAACTGACGTGATTCACCGACCGTCACATGAAACTGGTGAATTCATCTTTCTCAAAGGGGGATAATCTTTGCATCTCTATAACAGGAACTAATTTTGAAAAAAAAAAATGAAAAAAAAAACTAACAAAAAAAGACTTGCTGATGCGATATTTATGTCAATATAATCAAAATCGACCTTTTTGTGTGAAGTTAATTAAATCGTTCTTAATAATATCTAAAAATAAATAAAAAAAATAAATTTTTAGCCAACACAATATATATATATATATATATGTTGATCAGCATAAAACGCCTGATCTATCGTTTAATATTAGGGTTCCGGGGAAACTGAATTGACAAAACGGTTATAAGCAAGCGTTCGATACATAGGCAAAAATTGATCGATAAATGGATATACATGCAGATAGTAATAGATAAAGTATTTGGATTAGTAAGAAGTAGTATGTCTGTATGTGTGTGTGTGTGTGTGAGAGAGAGAGAGAGAGAGAGAGAGAGAGAGAGAGAGAAAGAGAGAGAGAGAGACAGACAGACAGAGTGGGAGATAAAAGAAAGAGAGGGCAGAGAGAGATAGAGAGGGAGAGAACAGGCGGCGTACTTCTGCGCGCGCACAAGGTATGTTGCCTGCTAGATGGCGGAAGTTAAAAAAGTCGCCATTTTTGTGTTGTTAATTCTGTATTTTCATTTTAATAGCAAACTATTCGTAAAACTAACGTTTCCTTCACACCAATTGTTAGAGAAGCGATAGAATTGTTGATTAAATCAAATCAAATCGAACAGATTATTTCCCGTACTGGCCACAGAAAGTCTTCCCCTCTTTCTGTGTGTTTCCTGTCACACCTTTCGATCGCGTAGGAGAGAAAGACAACATGGCCGATTCAACTGCAGAATATATTTGCGGGGCTTTTCATATCGTTCCACTCTTTTGACCATTTATTTTTGCCTTTGCTTTTAGTAAACAAACCGCGACCTGGTCAGTAGCAATGAATTAATCAATAGATTTTTTTTTTTTAGTTAATATATGATTTACTCTCTTTCACTCTCACACACATACAGATACACTCTCTCTCATATATGCAAGGAGCAAATTTTAATTTAAAATTTTGTATTATTTTTTATAAATTTGTCTTGGTTTCGTTATAAATTAACAGAATTTCAATTTCAAGATGTCAAATGGGACATGTACATGCGATCCGTAGCTAAAGATGCCAGAAAAATGGCCGGTTCCTCCTGTTCTTTCTTCTTCTTTTATGTGCCGTGTCCCTTCAGGACGTAGACGATCATGGCTCTCCACTCACCATAACCTTTGTAACTCTCAATAAGTTTTGTTCCTTTACTACTTATCCCAGCGCCTGTTCAGGTCATCTACTTGCTTAAGCCCGCTAGGTATGTCACGCATTGCTTTCCCTTGTTTCTCTTTCCTTCTATTTGCCCTGTGAGTATCAGATTCTCCAAGCACTCTTTTCTCATTACGTGTCCCAGAAATTTCAGCTGCCTCTTCCTGATGTTAAGTATAAGGTTCCTCCTTTTTTGCATCCTCTCCAAAACCTCATCGTTGCTCACACGCTCGGTCCATGATATCCTTAGTATCCTTCTGTAGAACTATACCTCCGTTGCCTCGAGTCTTTCTTTTCTTATTACGTGTCCCAGAAATTTCATCTGCCTCTTCCTGATGTTAAGTATAAGCTTCCTCCTTGTTTGCATCCTCTCCAAAACCTCATCGTTTCTGAAACGCTCGGTCCGTGATATCCTTAGCATCCTTCTAAAGAACCATATCTTTCTTTACAAAAGCCCGATCAGGTCTAAAATGGAGTACTGCTGCCATATTTGGACGGGTGCTTGCCCAGTTTTTTCCTTCCTCTCTCGATAGTGTCTAAAAGCGTTTCAGTGTCCTTGTAGGTGACGAAGTATTGTCCACCCAAGAATACTTTTCTCACAGACGAAACGTCGCAGGTCTCTCGCTTCTCTATTGCTATTTCCATGAAGAGTGTTCGGATGAACTACACTCTTTTGCTCCACGACCAAGATCCAGCACGCCACGCCCATTGTAGCCAACCGCCCTCATTCCCTTCGTGTTCCCTTGGTGAGATTCAAGTTACATTCAAGCCACGGGCATTCTTCTCGGCCGATTTTTCGGCCGGGGGTTTTGACAAATATTGGATCGTTTCTTGGCCTATGGCTGAGATTCGATCAAGGCTTTGACTAGCTTGGACTGGCTCCGGCCTGGACCTGTTAGGACAAGTCATGACCAGCTTTGACTAGGCTTTGACCAGCTTGGACAAGCTATGACCAAATTTTGACCGATGGCCTTTGAGTGGAAACACTCGGGTTTCCCACGTTAATCGACCTTGTTTCACATCTTGACTTAGTGGGAGTCAAGTAAATACCTTCAAGCAGCTTCTTTCCACAATCTTATGAGGGACCAACTCCCAAAAGGATGTTTCCTTGGTCACTACTGTCTTATCCTGTTCAAGTCTAGAGTTAACCGTTATCTTCCATACATATAAGCATACGCTGTAAATCTCTGCCTCGGGTGGACTTGTACAGAGTGAACCTTATTGTAAGAGAAAGGAAAAACGATATTTGACTTCAGTACTTGTAAAAATAGATTCGTACGCAGTTTAGAGCGAAAACAGAGTAATGAGGGGGCTAAGCAAGAAAGAATATTTCCAGTTTTAATTTCCCCATTTTATGGAATTATTTTATACGTGATATATAACACCTTACTACACAGATGGAACAGAATAGCTGAAAGAAAGGAATTATAAAAATGCATGGTTCTCAAAGAGAATTTCCATACCAACATATGCATATATATCTATAATAATCTATCACACACAGAGAAACTATAACATATGTATACAACAAGTATTGTGAAAGAAGCGAAAAAAGAGAGGGTCTTACTTGCAATAATTTCAACGGGTAAAAAGAGCAAGTCGATGGCGTCCGTTATGTGACAGATGAGACTATGTGGATTCCTGTGTTCACCCTACTGCTGTGGGCTTTTCATGTTCATCTTTTTCGCAGACTGTATAGCAAATGGAGTAGATCGACACGTCTTGCCTCCAGGCCAGATAAACAGCAACTGCATTCGACATTATGAGCTGACGTCACTCACCGGCCGTCTTGTGACTTCGTCTCAACAAGAGGGAGATAATTGCCATTTGTATCCCTACAGAGTTGTTGCTGTCATGTCTAAACAGGAGCTGCTCAATCCTCTTTTTCCATCCTTGAAAGCGTTCAAAATTTCAGTCTAATAGAAAAATACCTATTTTCCATCCTGATGCCCCTTTTCCCACTGTTATAACATCGCAAGACCAACGCTGCTCGATCGCTATTTCTACAACAAATGTTCAGATGACATCCTTTATTTAATTTTCTAGATATACGTATATATTATATGTTTCCACCTATGAGGAATATCATCTTCCCTTTTTTTTTAATTAAATATCGTTTTTGCTTCCATTTTCCTTAAGAGTTCTTCCTTGCTTACGCACTCAGTCCATTGTATTCTCAGCATCCTTCTGTAGAACCACATTTCTGTTGCTTCCAGTTTTCTCTTT